TCCACCCCCCACCTCCATTGCCGCGAGATATTTGCCGTTTATTCTTACAAATACCGTAACCTATTCTAAAAAAAATTCCTTTAAGAGAATATAACGGTGGCGATCAAAACAGACGGACAGAATTGCGCTTAGTTTGTCGATTTTATACATTCGGCAGCAAAAACCATCTACTTCATGAACTTAACAACATTTTTAATGTTATGTTCTGTAATAACCTAGAAGTTTCATCAGTTTATAAAACTGGAGTGCTTTATGTGCATTACACTTGTTATTTATTAATTGTTATTATCATAAAAAAAACAACATTCATTTATGCATGACTTTTATCAATGTATTTTTCCATAATATGTTAAAGTTGCATAGTGGCAAGAAAGTTTCATAGCAAGTTACACCATCATAAATTGATAAATTCTCAACCTTTCATTAAACAGCAACATGTGTCTTGCGAGATAGAGACATAATCATAAACGTATTACTTATAAGTACTTGTATACCTACAATAAGCTAACTTTACTTTTAATTAATAAAAGTTGCAGAAGTTTCGGTAATAGATAAATAAGCGTTTTATGAAATCATACAAATGACGTGGTAAACGCCATCTGTAGTACAATGCTACATTTAGTGGAGTTCAATATCCTTAAGGCCCATTTAAATACACTACTTATTATTATTTTCTATTGACTGTGGAAAATGAAAGAGTTTCCCTATATTCCTTTATAGAAAATAACGGTCGCACAATTAGTAAAAGCACTTGACCCAAATCAATTAAAAAATGTTTTTGGCCTGCATCCTCCACATGGCTCAAGTGTAAATTCATTAATCTTTTAGTTTTGAAATAAAAAACATAACAACCATATTTTTCACGAGTAATTATGCCTTAAAAAAAGATTTATACCTTCTGCATCCCCTGAGTGACATGCCTACCTAAATACGGTAGCAGAATTTGGATTAAGCAGCTGTTTCATTGAAACGAAGGTTTTTTCTAAAAAAAAGTTTGACTAACCCAAAAACGGTTGTATCAAAAGTTATGTACATGAATACACGTGTAACGAAAAATTTGTCTTTAGCATTTTCGTCTTGTTCGGGCTCAGATTTATGGCTCGCCTCTTCCTCTCTGGCGCACTATCGTCCGTATAAATAACTGCAACGCGTTTGACACTCCCCAAATTTATTATGTGAAATATTATGTAGCTCAGCTTTGAAAAATGTGCTCTAGAGATCGTTAATTACCGGGTCCACCGTAAGTGTCAGGGTGTCGTTGTACTCGCGGCGTTCGTAGACAAATGACTCCTGGCATAATTTATACTACGAAATATTTTAAAGAAGGGTAAATGCATCCGCGTCTTTAGACGTGTTCCAAAATGAAACTAATTTTACATAATTTTAGTTGTTACCGTTCCAACTCTATTATTTGTAACTCATTTGTTCTAATTCGCGATCACAACGGATTCGCTGTTTATCGTTTTTAACTGTCAGTTAAAAGTAAAAGCAAATGTTCTTAAATAACTGTCTCGTATAATAATGTATTAATAGATTTATCCAATTTATGATTCTCTCTCCTTCTTTCTCTGATTGCTACCATTCATAAAAACAAGCGTCTACTTTCTTACAACTGATTATTGTTGAAATTACTTGAATATTCAAAGCAACCAGAATCATGGTTAAATGTAGAAATTTGGTTCAATACTGCCCACTGATTCGTATGTAAAACCAAAAAGGTATGGCCTAGAGGTTTAGACCATTGCTTAGCAGTCGAGTGGACGTCGGTTTGATTCCAGATTCGTCTGCCTTGGTTCAAGTTGGTTTCCTTGGATCACTTAGGCAAATGCTGAGGCAGTAATATTCCACAGATAATCTTTCATTCTCTTCTGTCTTCATTTGGCTCTTCTCGTCTTTCTTACCCGAACCACCATCGTGGGAATGGGTGCCACGATACTTGAAATGAGGCTGAAGCCCTACCTTCCGGCGTAGTCCGGAGAAACTGTTCGTCCACCAGCATTAGTGGCTGGTACATCCAAAAGTTTTTATTTTCGTATGTAAAAGGCCATGATAACAAACCAGTAATTCGTACAAAGAAAATTCGGCATGAGAAGTGAGCACAGAGCGAAATAAATATCAATAGCCTATTACGTTGATTATCCTTATTGCTCAGGTTTTTTGTATATTTTATATCTTTCTTTGATCATCAGTTATTTCAAACACTGTTGTCCAAAAACTCCACCTGAAACACCCTTCGATACCCAAGAATCATCCTCGGTTAGAGAGTAAATGTGGAAGTTTTATGAAATACTGTTTCAAAGATGAGTTCAGATTCACAGAACTCCATTTGATTTTCAATTATTATAAGATGGTACATTTAGTGGCTCAAAAACACAAAAAGTCATANAAATAAAAATTAAAGCCGATAATTGTATAGGCTTCAGGTACTTATTAAAATATTGTAAAAATGAAATTGTGGAAAATGCTACTGCATTAATAAAATCATACTTGCAGATAATCCTAGAAAGTGCATTCAATTTTGCAATATTTAGCATTATTATGAGTTAAATGCTAAATAAGTGTTATCAGCTTATAGGTGTTCAGAAGTCTTGACAACTATAGGTGAGGACAGAAGCGGACATGTGGACAAAACTGGAATTGGAACAACATTGGAAATTTTGCAAACGAAGTGAGTGCTCTGATGATCATACCCTTGCTATTGTCCGCTTTTGTCCAAAATTTCTGGCAATCAACTACCTTTTTTTCTCTTAAGTATGTAGCTGGTGTAATCATTAATGCAAACAGTTGTAATAGAAAATGGTATATTGTTTGGATTGAGTCATTAGAGGTGATAGTACGCAAGGAATACACTTCCTGCACTTACAGAGTAAGTATGCTAATTTTATGGGGCTCCAGAATTTTTGAAAACTGCAGCTAAAACACTGCATTTTCTGCATTGCTTGAAAAGATTATGTTCGCTGAAGACGAATTTCATTTACCCATCAAAAGGTACGATATTGATGAATAATTAGTTCTAGATCGATTGAAGGAATTTGGGAATACACGACAAAACGTTATTAGCGACAAAACGAACAAAGTGACAGAACGTACTATGAACTGACGCTGTTTTGATTCAGCTCTAAAAGCGGTCTTCTATTAGAATTGCTTCCTAACGTTTCGCTAGCTCGAGTGGCGATCTTCTTCAGAGTTCCTTCCATCTCCGACCATATAAACGGCTGACTACCTGCGAAGGATCTGCTAATTGCTTAAAGATATTTTGGATACGACAAAATGAACCACTTTTATTTACCAATATTTAATACTTTTAAATAATCATTTAGCAATTTTCATAACAGAACCTGATTCTCGTCACCAGCTTATTCTAGCTTTCGATTGTCGAACTGACCATGTTCAAACGGTTATTTCATCCCTAGATTGAATTCGTTGTTCGATTAGATATATCTTTTGTATACTATCCACAAATCTAGGAGAAACCTCGAGTTTTTCCAACTAATTATAGATAAAATTATCAAAAAACGATGCAAGTTTGACAGAATGTGACTTTTGAGAGTGAATTTCTATCCAGCTATCTTGTCCATCTTTTGATTTTTTTAACTGGTACGTTTTGTCGTCGACGCATTCTTTAAGAACCCTTTGCAGGTATTAGACCTGGTGCCTTTTGTCGCGAAAAATCAAATTGAGATTGTGGCTGATAGGTTTTGTCGGGATAAGGGTTGAAGTGCTACGAGTTCTTCAGTTGGTGGTTCTTCATTGAAGAGCCCCTCTTGAATTCCTTTTATTAATGATACTCTTAAAGCTTCATATAAAATTTCACTCGATCATGGAAGTATGATTTTGAGGCTTCAACCTTCTTGGTGGTAATGAATTTAACACTTTCCGTATTCCGAGAACATTCAACCATGATAAGATTTTATGCCATTCGCGTTTTAATGGGAACTCACGTATAGGATTTGGGGAAAATCTTTCACAGTAAGCAGATACTTCTGGAAAGTTTAGCGTCTTCTCCTAACTGTGTGCATTCAACAACCAAACGTTTCACCATGAGATTTCCGACTAAAGACTATGTTTTGCTGATTTTACATCACCAGCTTGATGGAAAGAACTAGTTCGGAAATCATATTATGGATTAGATACTTAAGAGTTGCACCACCAGAAGGTTGGATGTAACATTGGATTCGGACGATATTCTTCGAAATCTACCCGTATTTTTATGTTAATTACAAACGCGCTTTGGTATTAAAATAAAATCATGCCAAAACTGAATGATGAAGTAAAAAATGCTCATTTCTCAACTTCATTGATTCACCTTTTACATTTTTCAGATGAATCGCTTGCTTCTTGCATTTCCTTTTCCTCTAGAAGTCTCTAGAGGAACATCATCAATAAGGTCGTGTATAAAAAATAATACGAAGACAGAACAAGAAAAAGCTTCAAGAGTAGGTATATCAACTGTACATTATTTATTAGATGGATAGAGAGGATCTTTTCGTAGATCCCTCCTCATTTCGAGCTGGGGATCCCCCCAGCGAAAAGGCGGAGCATGGTTCGTACCTTGCGCCTGTCGATGCGCACCATAAACAGCCTTCTACGGTCAGTCGTATCGGACGGATGCTGTGTTTATTTTGAATTGTCATGCGCGCGAAAATCGCATTTTGACACATGTGATCACGATCATGTCTGATTAAACTTTTGTTTATGTGCGATTCAAGTGTTTTCGTCCGTGGCAGATTTTATAATTAACAATAATCAAAGACATTGTCGGATAGTGATCTTTCGAGATCTTCGCGGATGCAATGCATAAGAAAAGAAGTGATTTTTGCGCGTAGTGAGGGACACCTGAATAGTAAATTCGTATTGGTTAATTGTGGTCGGAAAGTGAAGATGGAGCAGAAACTACGCTTGCAACTAGTGATAAAACCTGTTTACGTGGGTACATAAAATTGCAGGATATTTTCGAAAATGTCCGATTTTCGCGAATAGTTGATCAATGATAAATTAACATTCGAAAAACATTCCGTTCCTGCTCGACAATATTTTTTTAAAAATATTTTTCTCAGTGTTATGCACTCTCGGCGGTTGTACAAATCGATGGTCGACAATTCGTATTATCACTGCGGCGGATAATAATTTATTGAGACACTACATATCCGATAAATGCATTTGTTTTTCACGAACCCGGTTTCGTATCTCTTAACCCGTCAAGTTAGTGACCCTTGAAATGGTGATAGAGTTTGAGTGCCAAAAAGAATAATTTATGATCGCCAGTTACTAGGCGCTTATCACGAACAGTTTTTTTTTTTTCGACTGAACCGGAGACTACGTCGCTCTGTTTGTTATCGTTCGTACAAGTGAATTATTTCTCCGGTTGCAACATCTCTACATTCTACAGCATTGTCGTTATCATCGTTTCAATATCGTAGTAAGCCAGGCTGGGGCTTATTAGAAGAACCAAAAACGGTTTCTCTAATCAGGGCACTGCCGTCTCCGCAGATGGGAGTGTTCGAGGAGAGGAGCGCTTGCAAACCCGGGATGCATTGGGTAAGCTTCTATTCAAAAAAAAAAAAACTTCGAAAACAAAATCCGTAATCATTTAAATTACGTTATGGTGTCGTTTATTACATCAACACATCCTTTCTCATATGTATAATTTCTGTTGATGCTAAAACTGATGCAAGAAAATTACTTGAATTGAATTTTAACGTTTAAGTACCTAAGTAACTAATTTTGATTAAAAAAACTACCCATCCACCTCTATCAAAATAGGAAAAGTAATTATAAATTAAACATGTTTTTGGTTACATTTTATGGGACAGGTATACTGGGAAAATCTCGATAATTGTGTCGTGAACACTTTTATTTGATTGGAAATACTGAACATTCTCTGAAAAATTAGCCTAGCGGATATTTTATCACCTTTTCGTCTTTTACTAACCCATGTGCCATATAGAACGTCAAAGCTTTCATCATCATCGTAAGGTGTCAATCCTAAGACTGGTTGGACACGTACCTCCACTCTTTCCTATCCTGAGCTAATTTTCGCGTTTAACTAAAGCTAGAACATCCCACATCCTTAACTATTTGTGAACAGTAATCTCATCTAGGTCTACCTCTACTCCTTTTAACTGTTGCTTCTGCCTATTCATAGCTCTACTCCTCATAACCAGGCTGGATGAGTATAATTTAATATAATAATATTTTCAACAATATTATTTTGTTTTTCCTATTTTATTCCCAATCCTCCAGATTTCGTAATGTCGATTACCCACCCATCCGGACCAAACATGATCTGACGGGATCGATCGTAACTCCAGTTTCTTTTGGAGCTTTGTAATATAAAAATTATTTTAAATACACAGAGGTGGTTCCATATCTCATCTGAATTGTTCTGTCACAACATATTTCAGTACCTACATTAATTATGAATTTTGCTAATGATTATTAGATTGGTAACTACCATTGTTTGAATTGTTTTTTGCAGTAGGTACCTAAAGAAGTACCATTTGTTATTTATTATTATTTCTACAACCAATTTCCTGAACTCTGCCTGTAATCACTTTTACTTGATGCATAGTGTTCCTGAATTTAATCATTTAACCGTTTAAGAGAGAAGAATGTACGTTACAAATAAATTAGCGTGGTTTTTACATCGACTCTTTACTTAAAAGTCATTGAAAACAATCGGTCCAACATTTAGAAGTGCTTGTGTAGGCACTCAGTTCTTCTGGTCTATCTATCTTTTTCGAACCTTTTTTTCGCCTGTTGTAAAAGACATTGTGGGAAAACACTAATTGATGTTAACTACTTATACCGCTTCGTTAAATGGTCAATACAGAGATACACATACAAATCGTTATTGTAGGTCAACAATACTTCACCAATTAGCAAAACCAGTAGGCACTTATTCATTCTTCAGTCCTTAATATCTAAGAGATGTAGGGAACAATCACTCATCAAAATAAAACGCTGCCTACACCGCATTGCATCCCGATAGGACGTACTTGCGACAAAACGTGCAAGCTGATTTTTCGCGACAAAACGTACCACGTCTACCTGCAAAGGGTCCTTAAATAATGTTTCGACGACAAAATGTACCATTTAACAAAACCAAAAGATGTGCAACATTGCTGAATAGAAATTCACTCTCATCTATCTACCGATTCAAAATCAAGTCTTGTATTAGTCACTTACCTCATCATTTCGCCAAATTAAAAAGTTCCAAAATTGTAGGAGTTTGTATAGAAAAGTTTTTATCCTCATGGCTAATAAATTTACTGTTTTCACAAATAAAGGGACGGATTCAGGTACGAATACAGGAAGAGGACGAAAGAGATGATAATAATAATAATAATAAGTGAACTTTTTCGAGTCGTTTTCTAATAATTTTGGATTATACGCATTTATCAACACACCACAATATTTTGTAGTTTTCAGTTTTACACAGCTGGCGTATATCAATCGATATTGTTTTGGGGGCTGTTTTGTCGTAATTCAGAGAATTTCGTAGTTTCATTTGGCAGGTGCTGATATCAATTTGGAACTTCAAAATTCCATTGACTATGACAATGAACCCAGAAAACAATATCGATCTAATATTTTAGATTATCCACTTTCAAGGAAGCCAGAATTTTTTGGACTCTCTTCAGTTAAAGAATTGGAAGGCATTCGTGGAATGTTTCTTTGTCACCTTTTTAAGGTTCTAATACCTTCAATGGCCAATGTGAGCAACTTTCATTCAATGCTTAGAAAAGTATTTTAAATAAAATTTAAAATTCTTTTTTCCAAAAAGTATTTAAATGTTAAGTAAAAATGGGTATTTTTTATTTTGTATTTGCATTTTAAATGCAAGTATTTCAAATAAATTACATCTCTGATTATACATAGCAAAAGGATTTAGTAATTACCGTCGATATAGATATAAACAGATAAATTTTACCTGTCGATGAAAGACATCGTACTTTATCCTGAAATGAGTTTTGTATTCACGGGATTATAAAGATAAATATTTTAAAAAGAGTTCGTTATTCAATAGCGTACTGCTACAGGTAAGAGGTGGTTGCTTAAAGCGAATAGGGCAGTAGATTATTTGCAATTGTTGAAAGTAAATTAAATAAAATTGAATACAAGAGAAAACATACAGTATATTGAATATATATCGTCAATTAGATATTCAGCAAGAGGGTTACTCTATAAATGTAACATATGATGAAACTGACTTTCCGTCGGAAACATGTTAGGAGAAATATTGTAGCATCTTTTTTTTTTAGTTTACGCGGTTAAAATCTGTGGTTACAATGGTAGGTCGAAAATAAGATCCATTATTGTAAAAAAAAATTACAAATAATCAATAGTAAAAATAGTTATCCCTTAATAGGTGTTTGGCTGCATTAATTGAAAAATACAATTCTGCTTGAGTAATGTCGATCGATATTAATATGGAATTGTAATTAGTAACTAATATTTTAGTTTTTTATTTCGAATTAATACATATGTACCTATTAGGTAAAATCTATTGAATATCAACCCAAGTCAAATTAAAATGTTGTCAAGTGTTTAAGTTAAATAAAATTAACAATTACTATATTGTGATCATTATAATACAGCTAATGCAAAACAAAACTTGTAAAATGATGACTTTATGGTATTTGCGAATTAATTTTTTGACATGGTTTATAAATTAATCTTTAGTTTATCGATAGAATCCATTATAAGTTTAAAGTATTCTTTTTTAGNGGCAGTAATATTCCACAGATAACCTTTCATTCACTTCTGTCTTCATTTCGTCCGTCTCATCTTTCTCACCCGAACCACCACCCAAAAGATTTTTTTTTATCAAAAATATTCCCATTAAATACAGTATAGGCTTTGCAAAACTTCAAGAACGCCGGAGTACAATAAGGTCCTCATGCAAAAAAATGTTCTTTGATAGTCATTTTAATTAATTTCAATGAAAGTAGATATAAAACAATTTAATAATGAATAAAATTTATGTATTATATTTGGTATTATACAATTTACTTAAATAAAACACATTCCCATCAGATAAATAGATAAAATATATAATGATTCAGATAAGGTTTGTGTATAAATATTATATTTTGAATGCCCACAAAATCCTCGATCAATGTGTGTGAAAGCCCACGTTGAAGGGATGTAAGATTGTGGCAAAGTAAAAATGAAAACAAAACAAATTCAATCGTTTTCCAATATGAAAGAACTAGGCCTACCTCTGACCAAACTTCAATTTGCAACTGAAAGCGACTATCTCTAATATTAATATCTACACTAAAGTGTATGCGATTGAAAATTCATTTTTTTTTGTTTTTCTAGTACCTATATTGTTCAATTTCAACGAAAAAGAATTGAATGTTTGTCCGTTTAAAAAAACCTGGGTGCCCGGTATGTAAGATAATAGGTAAATTGTGACTTTTTGGACAAGCAAATTGAGATCATAGGATAATTTAAACTCTACTGTGATTTAATGTTAATTAGTTAAATTTATTGTTTTGTTCTACCCTAATAACTAATTTGTAAAATAAACAGGCACCTAATAGTTTAAAACTTGCATAATTATTTGATTATCAAGTATAGTTTCTGGTTCGAATAATTAAATTTGCAAGTTATGACATTTTTAATTATTAATAGTGGTTAATATGCAATATTAATGTGAAAATTCATTTTTGATTATCCATCCGCAAAACTATTTTTCCTCATCAACGTGAGGAAATTTGTAGTAGATGGAAAATCGAAAATGAATTTCCACATTAATATTTTACATTACTTTTCAATTTTTGTACTTAGGTACAAGGAATGCCTAGTGAAGTCAGAAAAATTATTTTGATAAGTTGTCTCGGTTGGTAATACTTAAAAATTTACGTGGGCAAAAATAACGGTTTGTTTTGCAATATGTTCTTATTCACCGAAGCGCTTTTCGTTCGAAAGGGATTATCATAAAAGCTCGGACAATATGCTTGATGATGTTTGGCTAATAAGTGCCCACGTACTTAAACATTGTGCCACACAAAGGCTTAGCATTCACGGTTCAGTTTAGAAGCTTTAGAAAACCAATTATCAAAATTTTCTCCAAACCATCAGCTAATTGAATGTATTAATATTTCCACAGGCCGAACAATGAAGCTTCTGTTGTAGCCGATTGGTGTTAGTTGAACATTTACCTATGCAGGCGTTAAACAGCCATCCTATTTTGGTAGGTCCTTCCTACATTAGCGCCTTTATCGTTAAATGCTTGTCCAAACTTAAATGTACAACGGAATGTACTTTGCATCAAAATCAGTAGCTTGGTATAAATGGGCACAATATGCCTTTCTTTCGCCGCCCCTTTCTATTTGCAGTTAAGTATTAGTTACTGGATTTTCTTGAAAATATCTATTAAACTTCTAAGTAAAAATTCCTTACCTGCCTCATAACACTTCTCAATATTCAGATATACCTGCTACAAGTATTTAACTATAGATTTTACAAAGGAAACGAAGGTGTTGAAGATCTCAGCATGAATTTTGTAGGGCTAATATTTAAATTAA